CAGGTAAATTACTGTACACTGTGTATTCATTAATTTTCATTTTCATGTAGTAAAGGCTTTATGCCTTCATAAAGTACAGTACATACTTTTCCTTTGTTTAAGGGTATTTGGGCAGTTTATTCTCTGTTGTATTCTCAAGCAAACAATACATACAAGTACAGTACAGTATTTTGAGGAAACACTCGTACTTATTTTTTTTTAACCCCATTCCCGATAACACGGCATTTTCACAAACTCGGCCACCCTTCTGTCCACATTAGGCCGAGTTTTCGGGACTCTACTGTATCATCATTTGGAAATGGGCAATGGCCCGTTATGTATATTACAACTTAGTGTTATAAGTCCAAATCCAACCTTGGAATCAAGATATCATCAATAAAATGAAATTTAGAGTTGCACAACTTTCCTGGCAAAAAGTTTAAGGTGTGTGTGGAACCATCTATTGTGAGATTTTATTTTAAAAATAACTTTTATATTATTAACTATTATAAAATGACAAAAAGCTTAATTATCATGGTAGAGACGAGTTTCATTTTAAAAAAATTGTAAATGCTAATAAAAAAAATAAAATCATTAAGTCCATTCATACACGAGATATGACACGTCAAGTGTCATATCTCGTGTATGACACTTGACGTGTATATCTCTTGACTCCTCGACCTTTAATCACTAAAATTTAATATCATCAATGCCCCTAATACGCACACTTCCCTACAAAATTTCAGAAATTTCGACAAAAGGCACAGGAGTTATTAAGCTTCAAATTGGGGACAAAGTCGTGCCCACACACACTATACATGCAGAAAAAAGCCCCAAACCTTTTGCATTCCTCGACGTTTCAAGGGTCCTAAGTCCAAAAATGTAAAAATCTTGGAAAGGGATAATTTTTTTGACAATCGCCTTGCTTTCTCTCTGTTATATACAATACTTTACATTAACATGTAGTGTGTGTACCTGAGTATAGTTATGCCAAGTTTTGAAATTATGTAAGTCCTTTAATTAAAGGAAAATATTAAATTTATTAAAATGATAAAACGATAGTTATTCGTTGTTATTCATCCTTTAGTCATTCATTGTTTATTAAAATTTTATAAGAAAGAATTCAATTATGGAACTGTTTATCTAAGCTTACTCATCGGCAGAAAAGGGATTTTATTCTGTTGAAACATCCTGTTTTGCAATATTAAAAATGTGGGAATTGTGTGATCCTTGGATATCAGATTATAATATCGAAAGATTAGCAATTTTAGTGGAATGTCAGCAAGGAAGCCATTAAAACATCGTAATCCTTGCTGAGTGGTTTAGGTTATTCACACTGCATTACGTGGAACTCTATGAGTAGAATTCTGAGTCACTTCTATTATCTAATGCTGAATCTCTTGCTACTTGAGAGTATACACAATGCTTATGAGTATCCATATGTTTGTGTTTAAGAATACTCGGTCATGGCCCAATAGTCGGAATATAATACTAGTCAGGATCGAGACGAAGTTGTTGGGAGAGTGAGGGGAAGCTCGTTTCCTCAATGACAACAAAATAACGCCAATAAAAATAATAATAATAATAAGAGAAATACGGCGGTAAAGAGGCGTGAATGATAAGGAGAACGGGAAGGAAAGCTAACCTTCTTAAGTTAATAGCAAAGTTTTCGTGTTTCCTTGAAAGAAATGATATCTAAGAAGTCGAAGAATGGAGTAATCGTCGTTGATGTTTATTCATTAAGTATTTAACCAATCATTTAATATGAAAATCAGAATACTTTCTTAAATATATAATTAAAATGCGAAAATTATCTGATGGATTCATAATGAGATGAGCCATCATATCGCTAACTTATTAATATAATTCCTGGAGGGATTCTGGCTACATCTACATGATGATGCAACAAGTTAGAAAACGGTTATTTTTTAAATTGTATTAACACAAAACCAATAATATTCTTTAAAAAATGTACCTGGTAACAATATGAGGGATATATTTCAGTAAACAAGATTGTATATGCCCAAATCCACCATTGAATTCCGATGACTCTACCAAATACACCTAGAGGATAAAATTCACCATCGTCTTGCAGCTGCTGACAAAGCCTATAATTAACTTGTCTAACCGTTTGTAGCTTGATATTCAAATCTGGGAGGTAGATCTTCATATTAAAGTGGAATAATGTGTAATTATTTCTACAAAGGAACATGATCTCCCATTCAATTTTGAGTTATAATCTAACGAGTAAGCTGAGATTCAAAATCTAAGCTTATTCGTTAGCTTATACGGCGCCTATACACATTCAGCAAAGAATTTTCGAAATTTGTGACGAATTTCAATTAAGTTTCACACGATTTCCATTCACTGAAATTTAAAATTTCAAATTAACTGGGTGCTGAAGCGAGATACAGCTTCAAACTAATCGTCATGTAGATGTACATTTTTGTCAAGAAATAAATGCAATTTCTGGAAATTCTTAACAAGTATCATCAGAAGCTCGGGAATTGCTGTTGTTATTCTGTTCTGAATATAATTAAATCAAAATTAAGGGATTAACTTGATAAGGATTGCATGATCCAACGAAAGAATAATTAAAATCTGGCGTTGAAGATCTTGATTACTATCAGTGTTCAATGTAGCTGTCAGAATGATTAATTTTCGTGTGTTCTAGATAAAACCAGATTTTATATTTATAATAAAAGTTTTTAAATATGAACTCCTTGAACTGAAATTCTATTTAATATTCTACTTGCATAAAACTAAACCTTAGGCCATAAAATTAAAGATTAAACTACAATCATTTAGTCAATGTACTTTTACCCCTAATTAAAACCCTTTAGTTTTTTTGTTGGATATAAAAGCACTGGTTAAATTTTTTTCTTTAACTCGCCTGAGGTCACCAAGAGGGCCCTCATATCCGTCGTGAGTTTGGCCAGGCCCAAACGGGAACGGCCGGGTAGTACGGTAGGGGCCCGATATATCCAGTACAGACCACCTAGGAAAAATTCCTGTTACTGGCTCGAATTCGATCCAGAGTACCCCAGAGCGGTTAAAGTCTAATTTCGATTTAACGACACTCATTATAACTAAATTTCATAACGCTGTATATCAAATTACATATTTATATATATCATTAATATTCTACAATGACCAATTAACACAATTATATATATTTTACGCATTTTTAATTTTAAAAATGGCTACTATACTATAAAATATAATAAAATTTCCGGGCCGGCTGAGATTCTTATCACCTACTAACCTAACATTGTTAAATTGACTTTATTTGGTGATGTCTTCATCCTCTCCTGACACGTGACAATCTTCCTTTTAAGGTTATAAAACTCTCTCTAGAGAGGATGTTTCCTAAGTTATAAATTCAAAGAATTATTCCTTCTAAGGCAACATTTTTTTGGAAAACAAATAAATAAATAAAAACAGATAAACTTATATCAATTGCCATTAAACAAAATAAAAAAAAATACCTTCACCATACTATATATTCTATAAAGTACTACAGAACGGCAAAATAAGCATAACTGGATGAGAATATCCACAATAATATTTGATATTCCAAGAAATTTTTGGAATGTAGCCTCTAATATTACTTTAATATAATTTTAAATTTTGGTGGTAAAACTGCTATATGTGAATTAGGTTGGGTGGAAAAACAACTCTTAGTTTAAAACGATGTCATCTTGGTTATTTCCACCCTATTACATGGGTGTTTTTGGGTTGTAACTACATTAATTTTATATAGAGCCCATAAATCATTAGGGAAGGGGTTCATGAAACAAATTTTTAATTTACATCAATAAATTATAATTATATTAATATGAAGATATAATCTAGTAATTAAGTTTGCTAATTCATAATGAAATTCTGCTAAGCTTGCAGAAATTTCATTACAAATTGCTTTCCTTGGAATTGTAAGCTACCTTACTACTTGCAAGCTTAAAATGACAAGTATTTGCAGATGAATTTTTAAAAATAATTGCTAATATTGTTTTATATAAAAAAGTTTTAAGTTTTTTAAATTAAATGACTAAATTTTTATTTAGATCCATTAAATTCAGACAAATTCTAGTAATTAACATTATCAATAGCTAATTCAAGTTTTTGGTTAATGATGTTTTGAAGAACTGCAGTTTTTAATGAGAAAAAAATTAACTCCTGATCTACATTTTAAAAAATCATTGTTGATAGTTTAAATGCTAAATTTAGCCAAATGGATGGCAGAGGCAGTTGTGTTGTGCTACTATTCTGGCACCCAAAATCAAACCCGGGTGGTGAAATAATCCCAGGAAATTTTGGAGTGATCCATCCCGGATATGTCGAGCCATGTCCCTTGGCACATGACCCCAGTTGAGTTGTGACCAACTTGGAAAAAAGACCTTAGTGTCTACAGGATAAAAATAGTAAAAAAATAGTGCTACATTTAAAAATGCAAGAACAATTCTAAATGTAAAAACTGTTTTATTAGGCAAAGTGTAAAAGTCACATTCTTTTTTCATATTTTATTTTAAAAATATGTAAAATAACTTCATTTCTATTGCTATCAATGCTATTTCTACTTGCTATCTAAGTATAATCCCAAAGAGACCATTCAATGGAAGATAAACTACACAAATACAAACTCTGATAAAGTGTTATTAACAATAAATCCATTATAAAATATAATCTAACTTTATAATTATACTTTTATTCAACATTTAACAAAAGTACATTTGTAAATGTTATTAATTAATCAAATACATCCTGATTAATTTAAAAATAAATTTTTAAAGTTATTTTGATGTCAAATTTAAATATAGATAAGTCGTATCAGGCATTTTTTAGTGTTTTAAAAATATTTTAAGAACAAATATTGATCTAAAAATTTTCTTATCTTTATTTTAATTTGTATTCATCAGTAACAAATTTTACATAATGCAGTTTTGTACAAACACACACACATATATATATATATATAAAATAATCAAGTATTGTTCAATGTTTTTACTTATTTATATTATAAAAATATTAACTTTAACGTCCAAACAGTGCTCAAAAAAAGTAAATATTTACAAAATTCTTATTTATGCAGTTTAGAGACAATAAACATGGATAAAATAATTAAACTGTAATATATATTAAGTAAATTATACATTCAAATTTCATTCAAGAGAATTTATTATATTTAAACAAAATCTTTCAATATTACTCAATTATAGACAATAATTGAAGGAATGCTAAAGGTTTATGAAAAAAATAATAAAAAATACTTTTAATATAAATCACCAAATATGTGATACAAGTAAACTGTATATCACAGAGCAGGAATTTATCTGAACTTTGTTCATTATATTATTTATTTCATATTTTTATATAAAATTCATTGAAATTTAACAAAATTAAAAATTGGTATTGTATACATTTTAAAAATATATATTTTATGAAAATAGTATAAATGTATATTAATGAATGTATTAACACTCTTGTAAGCTCTACCAAGATTGTGTATGTTGTAAATGTTATCTTGGTACTAACTCATTCCAAAAGTTGCAAATTCAGAACCTGTAAATAGATTATTTTTTTCATCAAAATATAATTTAAAATTCAGAATTAATATATTTCTTACAATTACTTTAATATTTAATATGAATGTTTTGCTTTTAACTTGACATTTTATTTTTGAACATTATCTTCTATGGTTGTCAGACACAACAGCCTGTTTGCCTTTGCTGCAACAGATATTCAAATGACTTCACTGTCATTAAAATATTTGCTACAAATTGCATTTCTCAACCAACAGGATCTTAACAATCTTCAGCAATAGTAAAAGGGTAATTCTGATAGAAATGTTGTCAAGTGATCAAGCACTTCAGTTTCTTTAGAAGAAACTGAAAAGTATTTCAAATAGGTTCATTCCTACTTGAATCACTGTGTATCCTAAAGGTCAGAACAAAAGTTTGATGGTCTATATTGCCTCATCCACTTATAGTTTTGATTATGCTCTTTCTGACTATTATCTAAACAGTCCTTTAAAAGAGGCGATTTGCAGCAAGAAGTTTGAGGATGGTGACAATCTCTGAAGTTAACAGTTGTAATACGAGACTGCAAAGCGTAACCACAAAGACATGTAGACTGTCAATCTCAGTGGTATCATAAAATTTGAAAGAAGACTACATTCAAAAATACAGGATGTCCAAAAAGTTACTTTGCAGTGAAAAATTTGTAATAACATTAAAGTTATGCATATGGCATTGCATATGAGATCTGCACCATGTCATAAAGTTGAAATCCAGACATTTTTATTTTTTCTAGAAATGACTGGAAAAAAGTGTTCTAGAATGTTCAATGTGAGTATATAAATAGAGTAACCAAAGGGCATTTTCACATATTTCATTGGAAATAGATGCATTGGCAATGACTGATAATATGAAACTTTCAAAATATTGATGATCTACATTTGCTTGGCATCATCATGATGAAGCTGCTTCCAAGTTCCAACCAACACTAGTCTATCATGAAGGAACTCTGCTGTGAACAATTGGATTGTTTGAATACCAAGATCAAAGAACTTCATCCAAAAATTGACAAAGTCCAATACACCAGCACATAGAGCAAAGATGACCTGAGAGAAGCTGGCCAGTCTGGGCTATAAGGTTCTGCCTCATCCAGTTTAGTCCAGACTTGATGCAAACTGAATGTCATCTATTTTATGTCCTGCAAAACTACATTGCCAATATACAGTTCATTACCCAAAACTCAAGACTTTCTTCAAAGAAAAAACACCAGTCATTCTAGACCCATGAAATTGAAAGTTTGCAGCAAAGATGGCAAGATGTGATTGATATTGATCATAATTACTTAACAGGCTGAATTGTAATTGTTGTTGAATTAATTAACTATAATGAAGCTTTTTATTCAAAATGTCTAAATTTCATCTTTACATGATAAAGTCTATGTCTTGCATTTTCACTTTGTGATACTGGCATTACTGCTTGCTCAAAGATGTTCTGGTTTTGGGACTACAGTTTCTGGAAGACTTCTTTGCTAATTGCATAATCTCCCATGGAATCTGGCCTGTTAAATCTCTGGACCTCATATAAATCCCCTAGATTTTGGAGCTCTGGGGGACATTTCCAGCATTTGCTGTAAGAAAAACTGCAATATCATATGTAAAACTTTATTTAAACTTTTTCCATTGCACAGTAACTTTTCAGACATCCTATAGTTTGTTGTATGTAACCAAAAATTCAGTTATCATTGTGACATTATTTTTTTAAATTTCAAGCATTATTCAAGCCTTCTGAATATTTTCTGATCAACCCTCACATTTCCTAACTTACAATCTAAGAAATATAATTTAAGTTTATGAGAATCAAATGAAAACATTAAAAGTTCAACAAAAATTAGAAAAGAGATTGTACAAGCTATAATTTTTGTCATCAGCAATCATCCACAAAATGTTCTGCTAATGACAGCAAGAATTATACAAGCTGCATAACATTATAGTTGCAATTTAAAGATGGTAATCCTACTGAAGACTTACATGGAAGTGTAAAACTGATGTTTTCTATTTTTCACATTCTAATTGATGCGTGATAAAATCTATGTTCACTACCACCAAAAGAGCAAGTGAGAAGTGACATCATCACCATTAAAATTCCAAGTAATTCTGCTTACTGCTATAGCAGGAAATGTAATGCCACTTCTTTTTTCAGATAAACAAAGCTCAACCACGAAACATTATGCATCTAGAGAGTGCACCATTCCCAGAGAGACACATTTGGCTATCCTCAAGATTCATATACAAACTGTAATTGGGTTAAAATGGTTTGGACATCTGTGTACTAGTGTCTTGTTACAGTACAACAGTGCATAGCCTCACACTGTACACCAACACTGTTAAAACCATCAAAGACTTGCAGTTTAAATGTACTTTATCCACATTCTAAAAACTTCATCCTCCATTATTACCAGATTAATTCTGGTGATAATGAAGGATGAAGTTTATGGACTACTAAAAGACAATGGATGAACAGATGCAGTGCAGCACAGAACTAAACAAATTCTTTTCTAGAAAAGTCTGGGCTATAGTTAAAGACTGTAATTTTGATGAAATGGAAATTATGTTAAAGAATAGTACACATTTATAAAGGAAATTTTTGTTGGTTCGAAATTCAAGAGACAAAGTAATTCTGACTTAGAATTATCCAAGATTTACATATTTCTGAACAATATGCCAAATGCCATGTAACTGATGTAATTTATTAAGCAAATGGAATATAGCTTGTTTCTAATTAATAATACAGTGGTACCTCACAATACGAATTTAATCCGTTCCGAAACTAAGATCGTATCATGAAAATGTCGTAAGGTGAATTATTTTTTCCCATACGATTACATGTAAAACCAAATAATCCATTCCAACACAAAAAACACACTCAAATTAAAGCTAAGTAGTACATTAAAAAAAAAACTATAGTAAGGAAAGCACTGAAAAATGCGTTTTGTAGTTGTAAATGTATAAATAACCATAATAGAATAATAATTGATTAAAAAAAAATGTAGTTTTATTTGCACTTTACCTTTCAGGATAGACAACAGTGGAGGTGTAAACTGGTGACAGAGGAGAGAGAGAAGAAAAATGATACTAAAACTTAACTTACATAACATAATGTAACAAAAACTTAAAAATAATTTAGAAAAGATTAAAAAAATTGGTGTTGTTTTATATATATTTTTTAAAAATTTTTATTCACTGCTTTTTGCTTTCTTTCCTTCACTTCCACCAGCACTTTCACTGGATAGAGGTCGCTTGGTAAAATATCTATCCAAAGAGGTTTGGCTTTGCCTACTTTTTAAAATGTTTCTAAAATGACTTAGGCAAATGTCATTACTC